AATCAAAAGGAAGAACAAGGGCGAGTAAATGATGGAGACTAAAAAACGATTTAAGGAATTAAGACCCCGGGGGGAAAATAGGGATGTCTCCTATGTTACCCATAATATGTGGAAGTATCGACGTAATTTCATAGAGTCATTTAGTTTTGAATGGAGCAAAGCAATATCGGGATTTCACTGTGAAGTCGTCGAGGAGACTCGATACATTTGAGATCTCAGAAGTAGTTCACCCAGCACAATGGAGCACATTCTCGAAACATCCATACAGAACATTGACTATGTCTGCTTTCTAATATTGACAGTTTACATATATTGACAAGTTCGAATGATATGTAATTTCAATAGGCGCACGTCTCTAAATCTAACGTAGCGTATAATTATCTGAAAGTGCAATTACTGAATGAACCATCAGACAATATGAATAATTAACGCCTAGCTAAGACAATTGACTCATAAATCGCCTAGATAAGCTAGGACTATGAAATAACAAGTTCTAATTCGGCGGGGAAATAACCGCTCACTTTGAACTATTAGCTACATATCAATGGGAAAATCCCTCAATGTAAACATGCTCTAAAGGTTGGTATGTGGGACTTAAATTCGGATCACGGTTGTATTCGTAGAACATGAGAAAAATGAGAGATAACTTAAATGTGTATCTCCCAAAATGGGTTTTGAACTCAAGAGATTTTTGCCCTCCACTTCATTTCTGAAACTTGCAAAATTGTTTGATTACAATTGTATCCAAAACATTCCCAACCAATATTATGGTATGGGCGTATGGCTCCATTCAAATTTTGCTCCAATCTATCACATTGATTGTATCCAAATTCAACTACACATATCTGCAATGCATATGATGGTGGGGTTGGGAGGCCAACATTTTCATATGTTAGCTTGCATCTGTTGCACTTGTGCGTGCTCTTCTAGAACCGTGATCGATAGATGGGGAGGATAACTGGTTTGGTGCCAAGAATTGACATGCCAATATTTAGCATTGTGCCAAATATTGACTACCAATTGGTTGGTTAGCAAGTTATTTTGCCTATCTCACATAAATTTGCCAATATTTGACAAGTCTTGGTATTACCAATATTTGACAATGCCGAAATTTGGCTAGCCAAATATTGGTTGCAAACCAATCATGCTCGCGCATCAGTGGAAATAGCCAGAGGCCTATGCATGTCTCATGTGAAAAATAATACGTTACTCCCTCCATTTACTTATACAAGGCCACTGTGGGATATACGTTTGCATCTATACAAGGGCATCAACAGTAATCGAGGAAAGAATTAATGATATTTCCTCGTACTAGTAACATGTTTAATACTTTCATGCATGCCATCATAATGACACTAGCTACTTCCTCCACTCAGTTTCCTTGCATGTATGTGTGCGTATTAATGATCTCAATAAACGAAAAAATGCAAAGTATGCATTAAATTTTATCTTGGACCTGTAATATGAGTTTGTGGCCTTGTATACAAAAATGAAGGGAGTACTATCACATATTGAAAACCGTGCGTGAAGATCGTGAATGAAGAGTATCAAACGTACGAAAGTCGAAGGCAACGTCCCCATCGGTATTGAGGTGTATCAGTTTCGAAGCTCCACAACTCTTGAAATGTTCTTCGGTAGAAGTTATGTGGGTGCGCGTATTGTGCTCTGAGTTTTTGTGCGTGTGTGCGTTACATTATAATCGGAGTCTCTCGAAATATCAAGTGGCACAGCAGTATGCTTTTTCGAGAATTTAACAGCAACTGAACCTCGATCGCACTAAGATGGTGAGAGCCAAGGAAGATAGCTTGGTTGTTGGTTCGTTGCACATGCAAGGAATTGTCAGGAGGGGACATTCCGACATGTTACCGGTGTTTGTTTTGTGGATAGGCATTCAAAATTTCAGTACGAACCTTAATCAATCAGAGACGCTCAGATGCGTCTCTCCCTCTCTGGCTAATCCCAAGTTGACAACCAAGTCTGAGGAGTACATGTAACCGGCTCCAGCCATTAATTGGGCAATCCACGTCTTCTTCTTTGCTTGCTGCAGCACGGACCACCACACAAACGCCTGAACTGCAGCCAGCGCTAGCCCAGCCATGCCTGCTGACCACATGTCTGACATGGCCCCCCCTGCGCCATGTAGTCAGCGCTTCCGTCATCTCCGCCGTAATTTGTTTCCGACGACATCTCCGCCGGAGTATATAACAAGCGAAGCGAAGGGTCACACCACCACATCGACCACGCGCCACAACCCACCCCAGCGAGGACACTCTTGCTTACCTAGTACGCTCTTGGCCTCTTGCACTCGTATCGCACGCACGCACGCACGCAGCAATGCCGGCCATGGAGCGCGTGGGGGAGGCGCCGCACTTCCTCGTGGTCACGTACCCGGCGCAGGGCCACATCAACCCGGCGCGCCACCTCGCGCTGCGCCTGCTCCGCGCCACGCCGGGCGCCCGCGTCACCGTCTCCACCGCCGTCTCCGCCTGCCGCAAGATGTTCCCGGACGACGCGGACGCCGCGGCGGTCGACCACGTCGACGCCGCCGGCGTCCGCTACGTGCCCTACTCTGACGGCTACGACGGTGGCTTCGACAAGTCCGCGCACGACAACATGCACTACATGTCCAACCTCAAGGTCGTGGGAGCCCGCACGCTGGACGGCGTGCTCGCGCGCCTCCGCGACGCCGGCACCCCCGTCACGCAGGTGGTGTACACGGTGCTCCTCTCCTGGGTCGCCGACGTCGCGCGCGGGCACGGGGTGCCGGCCGCGCTCTACTGGATCCAGCCGGCCACCGTGCTCGCCGCCTACTTCCACTTCTTCCGCGGCACCGACGGCCTCGACCAGGCTGTCACTGCCGCGGCGGGCGACCCGTGGGCGGACGTCCGCGTCCGGGGGCTCCCGCCGATGCGCGTGCGCGACCTGCCGTCGTTCCTCACCATCGCGTCCGACGACCATCCCTACTCCTTCGTGCTCGCCGCGTTCCGCGAGCTGCTCGACGTGCTTGATCGCGAGGACTCGCCCACCGTGCTCGCCAACACGTTCGATGCCATGGAGCCCAACGCGGTGGCGACGCTGCATCAGCACGGCATCAACGTCGTCCCCATCGGCCCCGTCCTCTCCTTCCTGGACGCCTCGGCGTCGGCAGCGGCGGCGGCCAACAACAGCAACGACCTGTTCAAGCAGGACGGCAAGGGGTACCTGGAGTGGCTGGACGCGCAGGAAGCGGGGTCGGTCGTCTACATCTCCTTCGGGAGCCTGTCGACGATGAGCAAGCGGCAGATCGCGGAGGTGTCGCGCGGCATGGCGGAGAGCGGCCGGCCGTTCCTGTGGGTGCTGAGGAAGGACAACCGCGGCGAGGTCGAGGACGAAGACTTGTGCACCGGCGGGGGCATGGTGGTGGAGTGGTGCGACCAGGGGAAGGTGCTGTCGCACCCGGCGGTGGGATGCTTTGTGACCCACTGCGGGTGGAACTCGACGCTGGAGAGCGTGGCGTGCGGCGTCCCGGTGGTGGGAGTGCCGCAGTGGACGGACCAGGGCACCAACGCGTGGCTGGTGGAGCGGCAGCTCGGCACGGGGGTCAGGGCCGCCGTGAGCGAGAAGGATGGCGTGCTGGAGGCCGATGAGCTGCGGAGGTGCATCGGCTTCGCCACGTCGGATGTGGTGCGCGCCAAGGCGGAGCTGTGGAGGGAAAAGGCGCGGGCGGCGGCTGCAGTGGGCGGCTCGTCCGAGAGGAACCTCAGGGCGTTCGTCGCCGGGCAGGTCGCCCTCGCCGGCAACTAGCCAGCCGGCAGGCCGGCTTGCATGCACTGCATGGTCCTGCAATCCATATGGCATTTAGCACTTAGCAGGACGACGTACACGAGCCGAGACGAGAGGACTCGATCCGTACCGCGTCGCCGTCGTAAATAATTCGATTCGATATTGTAGCTGCTACCTGGGAAAGATCGAATGCCGTTCGTATCTTGTCGAGGCACTCGTTTCGCCGTTCTGTATAATTCTGTTAAGATGTTGTTCCAATCATCCAAAGGTATTGCCGTGTTGCTTGACTATAATCATCTACTCCCTCTGTCCTATGATATAAGACGTTTTTACAATCGCGTCAACCTGCTAATGTTTTAGGAAAAATCGGATTCCAATCTCGTTCTATTGGGGGTGACGTGTGGAACACACCGAACCACACGATGTGTACCAAAATCTAAAGATAAAGAAAATTTGGCTAAACTATCAACTTCATATTTTTTACGAATTGACTCATGAATAAAACAGCAATCTTGAAAATCCCCTTTTCTATCATTAACTTCTTTGATCACCGCAACATGGGCTCCTCCCATATTGGCTTTTGTATCTTGCATTACCGAGTTACAATCTCGAGATGCCAATAGGTCGAGAGCAAGCGCCTGTGCCTCCCGGCACGCCATGGATTCAAGTGTAGGGACATCTGTGACACCACTGAGAGTAATGGAAGATGCTCCCATAAAATTCTCTTCATGATCCCGACAAATTCTGTCACATGTTTGATGCACACTGCGAACGAGGCGAGCGATCTGGTGGGCCGACCCATTTTTCGGTAGCCTGATTGTAAGAGCATATTTCTCCCTATGTGGTTTTGGTGATTAATGACAATGCATTTGCGGACTATCGTGTGCATTGAGCATTTAAGAGATCTCATGCCTAGGCACAAGACGATTTGGTGCCCCTCAGAGGCTATTGAAGACGGCGGTTTTCTATGTTTCTTTTCGGTGGATTTGAGTCGTAGGAAGCCGTACTATTAAGAAGGGTCCGCTTCAGAAAGGTTAGGGTGGAATCATCACGTACACATATGTTCCTTTGCATCACCTTTTCTTCGCTTCTTTGGAGCACCGGTCGTTTACCCTTGTCTATGCGAAGATGAACGCCTCCAAGTGCTATAGGTTCTGTGGCGTGCGGTAGTACTGCTCAAGGGAGCAGTAGTACCGCAGTTGTCCACGGTAGTACCGCCAAGGTAAGTGGTAGTACCGCTCCTACCGCGCGGTAGTACCGTGGCATGTAGCCCAGAATGCTAGCACACACGGAAGTAGGTGAGGAAGTAATTTTTTACTTCCGCGCCCTATGCGGTAGTATGGCTCCCTGGGAACGGTAGTACCGTGCCGGATTTTCGCACGGACCGGAACTCAGCGGAAGTGGCCACGGATGTAATTTTACTAGTTCGTGCCTTCCCAGCCCAGTTGAACCCTGCCTTGCGGTAGTACCGCAAGGGCGCGCGGTAGTACCGCTCGTTGCTATTCGCAACAGGGCCTTGTCTGGTCTCTGCCGCGCGGGGGTAGTACCG